GTTTTTGAATTCCACCAGGTAATAAATTGTTCCTGGCTTTATACATAAACACAGCTGTCTTATATCCCCCTAAATCGAAAAATTTTAACAATTTAGACTGTATGAAAGCTACATTGGTGTGATCCCTATACCCCATCTTATGCACAATTCTTATCGCTCTTTTTTGTAATATATACAATGGTTGAAGTGAGCTTTTGTATGTATTTCCCCAGTTTTCAACGCCATACTCTAAGTATGGTAAAATCAATGAGGAATACAAAATACATAGTGATTTCCCGTCCAAAATCTATCTTACCTTTGCCAATATCGATATATTTTTTGCTATTTTACTCTAATACTTTAGAGTAATATAGTTTCTTACATCTCCTCAAAATCTCAATTAATTTGTTCTTATATGACTTATATTTTTCTTCCGTCTTCTTTGATCTGTCCTTTATGAATTCCTTATATAACACATTCTTCTTTTTACATGCATTCTATAATCCCTTACTCATCCACGGTTTCCCACTGTAATTCATTTTCTTTTTATACTGCTTATGAGGACAGTTCCTGTCATATACTTTCTTAAATATATTTAAAAATTGCTCATATGCTTTAAGTCTTCCTCTCTGCAAACTGATTCCCAGTTTTGCCCCATAAAATCCTCTTTTAGCCTCCTTACAGAATGTTCATTCGTCACCCTCCTGTAGAATCCTGTATATCCAGAAAAATACACTTTGAAATGGATGCATGACACAGTAATAGCACGAGCTTTGCAAAAATACAATAGTCATAACATTTAAGCAAGGACATTGTGTAGATCTTGACCCTGAACTTACAAAATACTGTTGGTTTAAAAGAGAAGGCATCTTTATACCGATTACTTTTGTTGGCCTTGTTTCATGTCATAAATTTGCTGTTTGAGATTTGTGGAAAGATTAGAGTGGTTTTGTATGTGACATTGTACTGTACATGCTGGGACTCATAAGGGCAAAAGCAAAAGGTGTTGTTCAGATTAACTGAGTTGTTACGATGAAGATGCTGTCCATGGGCGTGAAACTGACTGTGGTTTTATTTGTTATTCTGTGGTGTCTGGGACACTGGCGTGCTGCTGGTTTTTCTCGTTTTACCTTTGGTTCTGAAATATTAACCAACTAAAACTCAAATTATGGATAATATTGTGCCAGCGCTTTCATCATCAGGTTTATCATCAGTCTTGATTGAACTGACCAGAATCTTTTTACAAGACTCTTATAGATTTACTATATGTGTATGTCAGACAGTTGGTTTTAGAGGACATCTAGAAACAAACTCTGTGCTCCCTCTCCTCTGTTTACACCTCCCTCTCACTGGTGTCTTTCTGGAGCCTCGGGGCCAAGGCAGTGGATGTGATTGAATGTGGGAGAGATGCTCCTTCCCTCATCAGCAGTCTGTTTCAGACAAGGACACACAGTTTGACTGTAGCCACATCTAGCCTCCAGCAGAAGTCCTGATTTCTGTCCGCTAAATGTGCCTTGCATCATGAGCCACTGCTCTTTAATAGTGGTTGGGGTATGTCGGTGTGACCATAAGTGTGGAACGTGTCCTGTGGATTTTCCTGTCTGCGCTCTTATTGTGACATAAAACCATTTTAGCTAATTTATTTGTTAACCAAAATGCTGGAAATGAATTGTAGTGAAACTGGTAGGCTAATGCCATCTGAAGGGTAATGAACTGGCTGATGGGACTCACTGAGGCACTTTTTGCGGGCATGCTGTGTAAAGTCACTGTTTGGCTGCACACTGAGTCTTTGTCCTTGCTTAGTGGTTTTGGTATTTAGGCGGCTCGGCATACACCATAGTGGAAGGTGGGGTTCCTACACTGTGTAAAATTATCGGTAAAGCATCTTCTGAATATCTGCAAATCAATGAATTGACAAATTGCTGCAGAACAAATGAACAGGGTTGGAGATATTAACATCTTTTCATCAGCTCTTTCTCTTTGTTCTCATCCAACAACACCAGGCTACTAACCAACAATTGTGTGTCTCTGATTCTTTCCAAAGTTCTGCCAAAATGTCACCTGAAGCATCACATTTTTACTTGTGACATGATGAGCAGTCGTGAATATTCATAATATTTGGTTAAATTATGCAACTACACATTCATAACGACTGTTTTTGTTTGTTTGCTAGTAGCAAACCTTTTGCATTTAGCCTAATCCACTGGTTCCCAACCTTCTTCCTAAAGAGACCCCTGTTTTATCATTGAGTACGCTGGCGACCCCTCATCCACACACACAATTACGAATGGAAAAATAGAGTACTTCTTTTCAAATTTCTTTTATAGATATTTCATAATTTATCTAACATACATAACAATACAGGAACTTGTTATAGAATTCTACATCTGTATTATATAGATTGTTTTATTTCACCATTATACATACTTAATAGCTGCCAAGATATTTGAAATGACTGCTTGCTGTTGGAAAAACACTTTGATTTATCACACAATGTGTAAAATCTTAGTTAATGCACTTTTAACTTTTATTTACTGGCTGTACTATGGTATATGTATAACTGTAGATGTGGTTACATTAGAATCCCAAGAAGTGTGTCTAAAACATGGCGACTTGCAGTATGAATTATGAATTGACAAGAAATCTGCCCTTAGCAGAACAGTCTGCTGTACTTGTCCTCACAGTTCTGTATGTCCCGCAGGAGAACATTAGTCTCTCTTTGAGAGAAGCTCTCAGATTTTTCACACAGTTACCAAACTGTCAGTGGGTCAGATTGGAGAGAGTCCTTACTTTTAAAGGGGATGAGAGGATCTGAGATTACTGGATACGATTGTTGCCAACCCCCATTTTAATTAGTGTGTTAGTTAACAAACTAACTAAAATGCACAATAATACATTTTTGCGACGTACACCCCATTCACTCCTAGTGTGGCACATGCATCCAGCAGTGAAAGTAACATAAAAATGTGTAGTAAACTTGCACACTCTGGCTAGTGCTCCTGACTTTGCACTCTACAGTGTGATTCACAAAGTGTTGCCAGAGGTGTTTGTTTCATCTTTACTGTTATCAAAACGTAATGCTACCATTTAAAACATAGTGCATCAGTGGTGAGCTGTTAAATGACTTGATACAAATGGATCTTTTTAGATTCTTTACCTTGTGTTATGGGCTCTTTATTAGCTACAGTATGTGGGTTGGGAAGAATGAGGAGATGTTTAAATGTTACATCTGCCTCCACTGTCAGTTCTAACACGATGATTTATTCAGTTCTGTAGTGGAGGGCCAGCAGGACAGCTGGACTGCTGCTAAAAGCATGGCTTTCCAGGACATCACCATTCTCTGTATTGTTTCATTTAAATAAAACACCAGTTTGCGGAATAGTGTTGCATGGCGTGTGTGTGTGTGTGTGTGTGTCGGGGGGGGACTGTCTATAGCAGATATTACTCCTGGCTTTACAAAAGCAGGGTTGCTACTGGATTCATTCTGATTGACTGTGACTATATAAAAAGCATGAATCAATCAAAAGGCATCAGCCTCATGCGTCGTGCTCTCATTTACAGCATCACAGGCGGCAGCTCCAAGAAAGATGATGGAGAAAAGAAGAAAGAGGATGTTCTAAACATATTTTCTGTGGCCTCAGGGCATCTGTATGAGCGCTTTCTGAGGTGAGTCGCCCTCAGTTTACCAGGAAACACACACACTCACACTTGCAGGCAAAACACTTTACATTCTTTTTAGTTCTGTTCCTGAGACTCACCTCTCAGTCTTTGTATTTCTATTTCAGAATAATGATGTTGTCCGTCCTTCGGCATACCAAAACACCCATCAAGTTCTGGTTCCTTAAGAATTACCTTTCCCCATCTTTCAAGGTAGTTCACTCACGTCATGACTCCACACAAGCGTTTTGTCTGAAACAGCATGATACCAGTTCTTCAGAAATGTATTTATACTAAATAAAGAGAACGTCTGTGGGTTGCTGCATCTGACAGTATGTAGCTAGCTTTTCATGCCTGAAACATAGGCCCGTGTCAACAGCTGCCCATCAGCGGGGCCACACACACTAACCAGCATCATCTGTTTTCTAGGAGTCAAAGTTTAGTTTTATCTGCCAGGTTATTATAAATACATTTTGTTTGTGACATACTGTTGTTGCCTCAACAACTAATTCTAATAGTTTATAATGAAAGCAAATATCCCATTCCAGTACAAATTTGTAGTACATTGCTATGCATTCCAAGAAAATCTGAGTGTTTTTCCATTGTATAGATAACTGAATTGAGCTAATTTTGTAAATGTTTAGTTACATTAAAAATTGCTCTTGTATTTGATTTATTTAACCTTTGGTGTTTGTTTTTGGTGCGGTTAGGAGACCATCTCCCACATGGCAGAGTCGTATGGCTTTCAGTATGAATTAGTACACTATAAGTGGCCCCGATGGCTCCACCAGCAGACTGAGAAGCAGCGAATTATCTGGGGATACAAGATCCTCTTCCTGGATGTTCTGTTTCCTTTGGCTGTAGACAAGATCATCTTTGTGGACGCTGACCAGGTAAGGATCAAATTGGACTGAGAGCGGAAAGAGCTATGTGTCAGTGTGCGGCAGAGAGTGAGAGTCTCATATGGATCAGTGTCAGTACTGGTGGTGAAGACTGGATGACTGAAGTTTCAGCAATTCTACCTGTCCTTACAATGTTCTCGCTGTCTCTCACAGATAGTTCGGGCTGATCTGAAAGAGTTGAGGGATTTAGACCTGGAAGGTGCTCCTTATGGGTACACTCCATTTTGTGATAGTCGCAAAGAGATGGAAGGCTATCGTTTCTGGAAAACCGGGTATTGGGCTTCACATCTGGGACACAGAAAATACCACATCAGGTAATCTTCCATAGCAAACTAGAATTGTTCATAGCAAGCGTTTCTATATTTCTGTTCAACATATACGCATACACATACAGTATACGCATTAATTGGTGTGGCAAGGAAACTAGATGAAACTGTCTTTTGCTCTTATTGTTATGTTTAGCGAAAATGAAGATAACCTCTTCTTGCAAGATAGGCATCAGAATGAATTCATGCATTTTAAAATATCAGCATTCACAGGCACTGTCTGACTTGTAGGCCATTCAGTTTATTTAGCTGGGGACATTTATGACTTGCCTCTGTACTTTGCAAAGAATGAAAGGAGTTACAAATAGCCTAAATAGAGGTCTAAAACAGACCGCACTGCAATAAACAGTACATCTCTCACAATCATGAAAACATGTTGTTCATTTTGCTTTTGCATTTTGGCTTAGATTCAGTGACTCACCCAGAGGAATTATTCATCATGCTAAAATACATTCTAATACTTTCTTCCTGAGATCCAAACATGACAGCAAATAAAAATATTCTCTGTTTTTATGTCCTTACATTTAGGTTTATATTTCTTATTCTTCCTCCCTTTAATCTATCAGGGTTTTGGAAAAGCTAAACTTTTCATATAGTTTAAAACTTCCCATTACTCAGATAATAGGAATTAAAGCTACGACTTAAAGTAGCACTATCATGAAACTCCAAATCAACCCACTCTGCTCCGCCCAGCACGCCCTGCTCCTCAGTGCTCTAATACGATCTGCTACGCTCCACCCAGCTCTTCAGATATTTGTCATTATGAAATTACAATAAATGAGAATGCGACCAAAACTTACTGATCAAGCAGAAATAATTGAAAATCTCCAATTGGTTAGAGGTCAGTCTCGCTGAAAAACATTTAGAAGCTAACATCTCTGCGCTGGTGCTATTCAGTGAGTCTGGGTCACAGGAGACTTTGATAGCTCCTCTCCACATTAAGACATGTTTGGAGCAGATTTCTACAAAAATATTTGAAAAAGTTACATACTGTACCTTTAAATAATCTGCCAGAAGTTGGCTCTGAAGAAAAGGACAACTTTTTCCTCCAGATTGTTTTGCAGAAGCTGAAATCAAATGATACTGAAATCTGCCATCTTGGATTATACAGGTTTTTAAATTTTCTTTGAAACAAATTGCTACACTACACGACTGTGTTCATCTAGTTTCCTGGGCAGATGAACCCCCCAATTATAGGTGCAGTTCTTGCAAATATATAATTAAGCACCAGCTGTGAAATAGTTCAGTTCCTTGCTGGGTGTGGCACCAAGTTGTACTTCATCAGTGTGATGGCTGGTGTCAATGTAACTGACTACAAAGCTGCCAGGGTACATTTCCACTTAAATACTGACTGATGGACAAAAGAAAAGTCCGAAAACCTTTCTGTGATTTGACTGAATGCCAGTGGCGCTGCTCAGCTCTGAGGGCCACGACAAAAGCAGCAAGGATGAGAGATGATCAGCATCGGTGAATGAATATCCTCTGGCAGAGTTAAATCTAATAAGAGATAAGTAAAACTATATTGTACACACCTTTTGAGTTTATTGAAATGGAAAGTTAGGTACAGTTATCTGAATGTGCCTGAGGCGTTTCTATTAACTGGGTCATTTTTGTATTTTTAATAAGTCAGTCCATCTGTCTTTCAGGAAGTGGTTTTCTCACGCCTGACTCCTATGTTTTCTTTCTTTCCTCTCCTGTATTTCTACAAGTGCTCTGTATGTAGTAGATTTAAAGAAATTCCGCAAGATTGCAGCCGGGGACAGATTAAGAGGCCAGTATCAAGCCTTGAGCCAAGACCCCAACAGTCTGTCCAACCTGGACCAGGTATGTAACTTAAAGATGACACCAACGCACTGTACACTACAATGCAGAGGTGGTTGATGTATTTGTAATATATTGTTTTATGATGTTTTAGGACCTTCCTAACAACATGATCCACCAGGTGGCCATCAAGTCTCTTCCCCAGGAGTGGCTGTGGTGTGAGACATGGTGTGATGACGCCTCTAAAACCGTAGCTAAAACTATAGACCTGGTGAGCCCCACAGCTGTTAGATCTGACTTTGTACCGCTAATTGGTAATGTGGGGAAGGTATTTGGCACACGTGCGAATTACTAAATAATTAAATTATCCAATCTAACTGTTGCAATTTGTTTAGAAATTGTGAAATTTTTTTGCGTTACTTAAATTATTCTTTTGTCTGTGGAAACATAATGGGAGAGATCATATTGGTATACCAGCATTTTTTTCCCATCTATGTTAATCTGAACAGTGAACTGTAGCTGCTGCAGCACTGAGGACCCAGAGCATATTTTCAGCCACTAATGTCCATGAGGGCACTTGGCATTTACGAGACAACTGCAGAGCAATCCTGTAGTCTCCTAAACTGATTAAGAGAATTACTGGACAAGAACCAGTAGGCTGGAATAGGAAGCATTGTCTTCTTGTGGTATAGCACACCATTTGGTAATTCAGACACAAGACATGAGCTAATGTCCTTTTAACAACATTGGAAATCAAATTAGGTTCAAATGCCAACCACAGACAGTTGCTGGCAGTGACGACTTGACTTGGTGGGAGAAAGTGGCTCTGGTGGCGTGAGTGATGTATCGTCTGCTTTTCTGTCTCAGTGCAATAACCCGAAGACCAAGGAGCCCAAGCTAACAGCTGCAGCAAGGATTGTGCCTGAGTGGGTCAAATATGACAACGAGATAAAACAGCTACTGAGACAGGTCCAGGCACAGAGAGACACAGCGACACAAAAACAGACTCCTTCTCCCTCGCAGCATAAAAAAGGTTAACATAGAAAAACACTTCTCTGTGCCTACAATGTTTGCCTGTTTTTATAGGACAGGTCTGTGTGTTTTTTTTCACGATGAGATTGGTTTCTTTATTACCACTGTGCTCTGTTCCATTATTTCTTTTACCACATTTCTTCCCTTCTGTACAGCAGACAACCTGCGTGATGAGCTTTAGTGTCTGCGCCACGCTGAAGAGGGAGGAGGCAGCACCTTGCGTACGCAGGCCACCTGTGAAGCCTGAAGACAAGACAGTTCCATCTAAACATAGCCACAGTGTTGCTTCCCCAGCCGGAGGAGGATAGGATATTTTCAGAGATGCCATATCTGCTTCTGCGGTCAGTACGTCTTACAACATCAACACGTGATGCAAGTGTTAACTGCCAACTGTGAATTCGTGGTGCGCTATCAGCACTGCAGTGAGGTCTTGGACAGTATGTTGTTACCAGAGAATGACGTAAACAGAAAAAGTAAAGGCATGACATCAGCCAAAGCACTGTGTATGAGTAAAAATAGATGCCAGATATTGCACTGACATTGTATGCAAAGGATGAAATAGAGAAAGCACATCTCTCAATATTTTTTCATGTAAAGCTCTTTCACAAAGCTGAGATTTAGAGATTTACTGACAAAATCAAGACCTTTAACTGCATGTTGACTGAAATGGCCAAATCAAAGTTGACACAAAAATAGTTTTCAAAATTTCACAACTTGCTGCAAAGTTGTTACATTAAAACAGCAGACAATTTACCACTCATGAAACCCTGCATCTGTAGAGCATTTGTCCAATTATGTCTTAGCATCTATTAACTAGGCAGGGCCGGCCTGTCAATCTTTGGACTTCAACCATGGATGTATTAAAAAGAGTAGGATACAGTCCAGCAGCAACTAACTACAAGTAACTACAAGGGTGTGGCTGAGGGAATTGGTCACCTATGTGTCCCTCCAAAGTCATGTGACACCATTAAGATGTTTCACAGATGAAGTCCAGACTATGTCCACAGAATCAGGCTGGACTTTGTCCAGAGTTACCCTTTCACACTTGTAGCATACAACAGGAGGTAGTCAAACACATTCTCATCTGCCGGGAATACTCAGTCATATGATAGAACGTCATCAACACTGCCACTAGCTCCATGTGAATACTCCCAGACTATAAGCCGCTGTATTCTCACATGATCTCACTTGGATATTATGCGGACTTTGTACTAGGGAGCTGGCTGGGTAAAGTCCACTTTACATCCAGGTGGACTGACTTAGACATTTGCTTTCACACATACAACTCCTCCAGGTAATGTCTAGATAATTTCAGGGTTCTAGCGCATGTCTGAAAAGGGCTTTAGACATGACTTTCACTCTGCAGAACAGGCTACACTTTGTTATTGCCAAGTTATGGATCAAAGATTCCTCATTTGCACACTAAAGGTCATGTTTTATGGGTTGAATAAATTATTTTAATTTATTGCAGTATGTTTACATCTTTACATGTACATTCAGCCTCATTGTATCAAATTTCTAGAATTTTTCAGTATTCGAATCACACATTGAATCAGTGTTTTGTTTCAGGAATATGATGGGTGTTGCTGTTTGACTGAAGCCAACAAGTTTTTTTTTCTTTTTCTGTCTTAAAAGTCCAAATAGGGATGTTTCCTCTCAGGTCACCCATCTTCCGCTGTGCTGTGTCAAATAGAAACATTTATTTTACTGTCTGGTGGGAATAAAATAAATCTTTGCTACAAAACTGTCATTACAAAAGCGGTTTGTGTCCTGTCCGCTAGTGTGGTCGTTCAATGTGTGAGTTGTGCTCTGAAAGGTCTACATTTAAAGGATTTTCCTACACTGCAGTTTGTTCCTCACCATAAATCATTTAACCATGTGAAAATGTATTTATGGGGAAGAAAAGCCATTAAGATAGTTGCAATTAGGCAAAAGGTTAGATGTAATGAGGACCAGTACCATTTCGAAGTGCCATTTCTCCAAGTTAAGCTTCCGTCCGCAAAAGTTGAAAATCACTTTCCGACCTAAACAACCTAGTACTCTTTTACTTCTCAGTTCATTTTAATGTACATAAATAGCTCTTTATTTACAGTTCAGAAAAACTCCATTCATATAAAAATAGTACTGTACCTCTGTACAAATATAATCCTATGAATGGGTGTGAATTAGTGTACAAAACAGTGAAAGGATAGAAGAGTCAGAATTAACTGCTTGCTCTTAACAGATAAAAGCTGCTTCACACATAGATATTTAGCATAGCGACAGGCCCTCCCCAAGTGGAATTCCAGAGTTGTATTATTCAACAACAAGGATGGGTCTGTAATTAAGTTCAGCAGATTAAAGTCACAGTTCACTCCACATTTTTGTGAGTGTTATGAGGATGTGGTGGCATTCTTCATGCCAGTACTCTCCCTTTTAACTAGGGAGGAAAACACAAAACTCCACTCCAGCTGAGCTGGATATGAGGCTTCTCAGTTGAAGTTGAATTTAAAGTTGAAGGGTCCTGAACCAAAAGGATTGAAACCCTGGAAGCCATGGAAACCTCCATGGAAGTGTTGATGGTGGTGACCCTGCTGGCTCTCCGGATCCATGGGGTCCTCCCCCTGGTCGAACTTGGTTCTCATCTCTGGGAAACACGCATAGACAGGTTAGTGCAGAACAACTCAGCAAAACAATACACACTTATGTATATAGCATTTGAAATAGAAATCAGCCCATTCAGGAATGTTTTTGTTTTGTTTTGTTTATATTATTACCCAGAAATGACAAATGCCACGTTTTGGAAAAAATGTGAGAAAATATGTGACACGTTCCAGTAAGAATAAAATCTATATGGCTTGCTGAGATTTCACCTGGGCTCTAAAGAGTTAACATACATTGTAAATTTGATTAATTTATGAAGTTATGGGTCTGTCTGGCCTGATTTAGTGGAGTTACTTAAGTAATTAGGCAAATTGCGAATTCACCACAAGAATACACCCACTGCATGATTCTGCTTTGGTCATACCAATGAGCATGTGCAAATTAACAAAAAAACATCAGTAATGTTAAAGTGCAGCATGCGACTGTAACCCACAGCAAATATTCACATTTTTGCAGATTAATCAGACACTTAAGAAATTAGCTGTGGTAGATGAAGTATGTGACATGAGCAGAATTGAGGCTGTCAGACCATTGATGTGGGGGGGGGAATCATTTACTGTAAGATGGTTTTTCTTACCGAAATAAAAGTTGTCTAATAAAATGAGGACAATCTCAAGCTACTTGGGCAAAACAGTAGTGAGCTCAGCTGTTTACAGCGGCTCCTCAGAGGCTTGACATTTACTACAGTAACAACTTTCCACACACCCTGCAGACCACACTCAGACTACATACCTGGATCAGTAAGAACCTCTTTAGCCTGAGCGATGTCTATGAACTTCTTCTCTGCTTTCTTCTTTTCCACCGGATCCTGGAAGTTGTCCGGATGCCACTGTTGTGCCAGTTTTCTGTAGGCTTTGATAATCTCCTTCTTCTGGGCAGTTCTGTGACCACGGGCAGGAGGGGGTATTAGCGCATTTACTGAAAATAACTTCCATTCTTTATCTGTCAACATGGACCTAAAAATACTTGTCCAAGTGTCGGGGTTCGTACAGAGGCTCAAATGTAATAAATTATAACTTTTTATGAGTGCTTAAATTTGTATTCCAACTTAAATTATAAGTTGTGCTTTTCAACTCAATGTTCAGAAGGGATTAGTTATGTAATACTGAAGTGCAGTAACGCTTTGGCGTGAAGCAGTGGTTTCTGAATGCATAAAAGCAAATGAAAAGCACAATCTCAAAGCAGAACATAAATTGCTTTTTGATGCAGTAAAATACCCCAGTTCTCCCACATTTCCTCGGGAGAATCTATAAAATTGTAAATAGTCAAGAACAAAGCTCTGAAGATTTCATCAAATTTCCAAGATCCAGTGATCTGCACCCACCTCTTCACTCCCAGGATCTTATAATAATCTCTCTTCTGAGACTGTTTGAGAAGTCGCTGAGCTCTCTCCAAGCCTTCTTTTATCTGACGGTCATTCTCGCTGTGTTTGCCTGCCGCCTCATAGTCCTGAATAGCTAGAAGATAAAAATGCAGGACAGAATCAGTATTGCTTACACTTTCAAAGCTGCTCATGGGGAGTGAATAACACTATTCGTTGAAAAAAAAAAAAAAAGCACAGGCTTTAAGACCTTGTGGCAAGAATCCACCCTGAGCAAGGTGCTAAATCCTTCAGGTATTGTTGTGTCTGAGCCTCCACTTAGATGAGGAACCAAACAAAAGAATTTACAGGAATCATCTAACAATAATTGCATTGCTTTTCAATCTGTCTTAATTTAGCCCTTTTATTAACAGTAGCCATAACAGGGCTCTGAGCTAAATGCTCACAATGTCTAGCACATACATGGATGCTCTGTTTACACTACTCCACTAGCTTCTCTCACCGAGTAGTGTAGACACAGCAGATGCTTTCTAACTTCAGAGCCTGTATAATGTGATGGTCATTCTTAAGCTTTGTAGCTCTGTTTTGGAAAGAAAAAGGACCTCTCATTTGTAATGAGGAAGAAACATGTCACCCAGTGCAGCGGTGTGGCAACAATGGAGGTCTATGGCACAGACAAACAAGCTAAACCAGGTTGTGGATTCACACACATTATGGTGAAATTCATTGTTGGTTTTAGTCTGTATGGGATTAGTGAAAATAAATAAATAAAAAAGAAAAACACCAGGCTTATCTTTTAACTAGAATTACTGCTTCATGGATGTACGCTTCTGCCGACCAGTCAAATTCATGGGAACGGGACAGGTCACTGTGACCTTGACCACCAAATTAAAATCAGTTCATCTTTGAGTTCAAGTGGACATGTACCAAAACTGAAGAAACTGCCTCCAGGTGTTCTTGACATATCACGTTTACAAGAATGGGCCAAGCAGACTCAAACATATTGCCTCCAGCCACAGCTATCGCTGGCACAGAGGCATAAAAATGATCTGAAGTACAATCAATATTTACAAATGTACAAAAAAAAAAAATCTTCATACAAAAATTACTTTTACAAACATCATAAAACATGATATTACTTGACTAACGTTCTTAGTAATCAGACCTCTGCTAGTGCTTGCTCTGTGGTCGTGGAGTCTTTCATTCACTAAACTCCAACCACGGTGCAACAGCTCTTGGCTGTGTGCACGTTTGGGTGCTCTGAGGCTTGTTTACCCCATGAGGTGCACTGAGGTGAGTTTAAAACCCTGACAGTTTAAAGCCTACGTGAGGTCCGGCATTCCCACCTGCTGATCCGTTCACGTTTTAATGCCGACAAACGCAGCATCAGCTCAGCCTGCATCTCCTGATGGGATTTTGTTTACTGATTTTAAAACTCTGGAATTAACCTGCCTCATAGCTGTCCATTTAACTGGATGCATGTGTGTTTTGATTTTGATTTTGGGGTTTAACACCATAGATGAGAACAATATGGACAAAGTTTTCTAACTGTATGAACTACATTAACAGTGACACAGAGCTCTATCTTTTCATAGCTGCCATTCTCTATGTAAATTAAAACATAGCATCGCTGTGTAATACGCCCCTCTGGTAGAGCCTTAAGCACTGCATGTCAGCTTGGGGCTTTAAACTCCAAATGCTTGCCTCTGAAGATTTCATAGATAAATGTATATGTATTCATTCTCTACAGAGCTATGCATTTGGAATCACATTTAGCTCTTTGTGTCACTTGACCATTAGACAAGCGAGGGCTTTTGTAGTGCTGGCTCAGGGTGAAGCACTGTGGTGGCAAAATAGTGCTTCCTGATACACACTGAGCCTCTTTCCTTGCCTGTGCCAGTTTGCTATTTTGGTGACTCACACCACAACGGGAGGAGAGAAAGTAGGGAGAATGTTGCTGGCACATCCAGCAGCACATTGACTGCATTTTGCACTTCTGAACAAGTCAGCAGCACATTAAATTCCTTGTTTCATGATATTTTTGTCACTGTAATTAGTTGAGGCACAGGCACACAATCCTTTCCAAAGTCTCACCAACATCTTTTATTCATATTCTGCTTGCCTGTTTCACTTTATTATGCATTGCCATTTGCACAAAAAGATTACTTACTTACAGTTTAATTTCTTAAATGCACTAAACTTCTGAGATGACTATGTAATCACAATGTCCCATAATTGAATCCCCCTGCTCCATCTCTCTCTCCAGTTTTCATCTGTTTTTACTAGCTACTATCAAAACAAATGCAACATTGCCCCAACAAATACTAAGAAAGTTTTGTACTGATAATGACAATAATGTCAGCAAGACAGAGCCTGTGACTGTCATGAGGAGCCCCCCCCCCCCATCCACACACGCCC